TGGGCTCAGGCGGGAGATGCTCAGGGGGAGATGGAAGGGAAAGCGGGCATGCTTGAGAGTAAGGAAAGGTGCAGATGCGAGATGCAGACGGGGTGGTTGTAGTGGAGTGCTGGGAGTTCTTCACACTGCACAATATTGCATACAAAAATTATGCAGCAGTCTTTTGTTGTCCGATCATGAATCCGATGAGATTTTCTGAGCTTTACTGAGAATGGTAATCGGTATGTGATGGAATGTGCGTATGGCTCCGGGGATGATAATTCAGTATCCGAAGTCGGAGGAAACATTACAAGTACAAAATAGTGGTGTCTTAACTTGTCCCTCGGTTTCGTCGCAGTCTGCGTTGCTGCCGAAACAGGCAGCTTAGGAGGATAACAAGTAGGGGGGCTCTCCATTGTGGGAATCAGTGGAGGAAAATGACCAGGAAGCAGGCCGAAACTGGTTATGAGGGGGGGTAGTGGAAGGTGCTACTGTGGAAACGACAGCCGGTTATGAGGATGTAGCAGAAGGTGCAATTGTGGAAACCACCACTTTAATAGAGAGTGGGTGGTAGGAAAGAGGGACGACCGAGTGGACTTTCTGCTTCTTTGTCATGGGCTTTTAGGCTGAAAGATGACCTCAAATGGGTATGGCGGAAGATGTGACTGTCGTGAGCAGACTGCAGAAGAGGAGGCTATTGTCGAATCTGCTGCCTTAACAGTGAGCATGGTGCAGGAGGAAAGAGGGCAAGAACGGTAATGGATGAGAGACGGTCGGCAGAGGACCAAAGGGGCGAGAGGAGTAGCTAGGTGGTGAAGAAGCAAGTGGGATTTCGGCTCTTTATCCATGGGCAACAATTGTCGAAGAAGACGATCTGGCATATGGAAGATGCTATCACAAAGTCTGCTTGGGTGCAACAGGAGGAGGTTAGTTGGACATGCTGGGATTAAATGAGATGCAAAACTTGTGCGTTGGGAACATCTCAAAGGGCGATCGGTCCGGGGTGTCTCAAAAGAGCAACGGACGAGGAAGAGCCTTTGCTGGACGCTGATTGCTTAGAGTGCCCGGCTTTCCATGTGTATTTCCCTTGATTTAGCAATTAGTTAGCTAGTCAAGTGCATTTGAGTTCTGTTGAAGTTGATGGGATATGCTAGTGCGTTATTGTGGCGGGTTAATATTGAGTAATCACTAGAAGGCAGCATTTTCATAATGCGCTATGTCGGTCTCTGGATTCAAACGAGGCGTGGGATGTGCTAACCTTGACTGGTAATTGCAGGGTACTAGCATCATCGCATTTGTTCTTCAACTGATGCTCGAAGGTAATGAGGGAGGGAGGAGGCGATTTGTGATGGCATGTTAGCTCCAGCCATCGCAGTGAAATGTGAATAAACTGTGTGCGAGATGGTTAGGTTCCCTGATCTTAGTGTTTGTATGGGAGCGAATGAGCAGACAAGCAAGCAAGTTTGTGCTGCTGTTGGGTGGCGGATGGCAAGGAGTGTATTGTATGTCTTCATAGGTCTTAAGGAAGGCCATTTGTGGCAGCAAGCAAGGTATTAGGTTAATGGTCGAAACTCAGCCAAGTAACAAGTTATCCTTTCATTTCATCTGGATCTGTACCATGTTTGTTATAAAGTGTTAATACATATGTGACTGACACGCGGAGCTGTTAATATTAAAAGTGGTGCGTACAGTACTGTAAGTGTTCAATGTTACTATGTACAGTCACCACTTCTAGTACTGTTTTATTTTTGGGTTGGGTTGTGGGGGGAGGGAGGGGGGAGAGCCGCTGAGTGGGGGAGCTAAGTCATGCTATTTTCTCTGATTCGTTGGATTACAATGTTAACTGCCTTGGTCGGCGGGCTCGCTCATATTTTGGTAATGACCTTTTCGTTGTCAGAATCGTAGTTAATCTTCTGAAAACGTTGATGTGATCTCTCTGGGGGGCGGAAGGGC